ATGTTGTTGTTTTTTTCCTAGGAATTTTATACTTCCTGTCTTATGTTCACGGTTCATGTCTTTAATCCATTTTTATGTTAATTTTTGTATATGGTGTAAGATAATTGTTGAGTTTCATTCTTTTATATGTTGCTGTCCAGTTTTCCTGACACTGTTTATTGAAGAGACTATTCTTTCCCTGTGGAATACTCTTCACTCCTTTGTTGTAAATGAACTGACTATTATTTATGATCTTTCTGTTTTTGTCCCATTGATCTATATGTCTGTTTTTATGCCAGTGTTATACTTTTTTGATTGCTATAGCTTTGTCATATAGTTTGAAACCAGGTAGTATAATGCCTTCAGTTTTGTTCTTCTTTCTCTTTTGTAGTTCCATATAAATTTTAGGCTTGTTTATTCAATTTCTGTGAAAAATACCTTTGGAATTTTGATAGTGGTTGAATTGAATCAGTAGATCACTTCTGGTAATATAAATATTTTCACAATGTTAATTCTTCTAATCCGTGAGGATGAAGTGTCTTTCCATTTATTTGTCCTCAGTTTCTTTCATCAGTGTCATAGTTTTCAGTATACAGATCTCTTACCTATTTGGTTATATTTATTCCTAACTATTTAATTCTTTTTGACTCAATTGTAAATGGGATTATTCTCTAATTTCTCCTTCCGGTTGTTGTTGTTCAGTTGCTCAGTCACGTCTGACTCTGTGACCCAGTGGCTGCAGCATGCCAGACTGTCCTTCTCTATCTCCTGGAGTTTACTGAAATTCGTGTCTGTTGAGTCAATGATGTCATCCAGCCATCTTATCCTCTGTCTTCCCCTTCTCCTCCTGCCCTCAGTTTTTCCCAGCAGCAGGGTCTTTTCCAGTCAGTCAGCTCTTCACATCAGGTGGCCAGAGTATTGGAGCTTCAGCATCAGTCCTTCCAATTAATATTCAGGGTTGATTTTCTCCAGGATTGACTGGTTTGATCTCCTTGCAGTCCAAGAGACTCTTCTCTAGCACCACAATTAAAAGCATCAATTCTGTGGTGCTCAGCCTTCAAATAGAAGGGGAAAAGGTGGAAGAAGTGACAGATTTCCTCTTTTTGGGCTCCAAAGTCACTGTGAGAGGTGACTGCAGCTGTGAAATCGGAAGATGATTGCCTCTTTGCAGGAAAGTGATGACAAGACTAGACAGAGCAGAGACTTTACTCTGCCAACAAAAGTCCACATAGTCAAGGCTATGGTCTTTCCAGTGGTCACATATGGTCATGAGAGCTGGACCATTAAGAAGGCAGAATGCCAAAGAATTGATGTCTTTGAACTGTACTGGAAAAGACTCCTGAAAGTCCCTTGGACAGCAAGGAGATCAAACCAGTCAATCTTAAGGGAAATCAACCCTGAATATTCACTGGAAGGACTGATGCTAAAGCTGAAACTCCAATACTTTGGCCACGTGATACGAAGAACCGACTCATTGGAAAAGACCCTGATGCTGGGAAAGATTGAGGGCAGAAGGAGAAAAGGGCATCAGAGGATGAGATGGCTGGAAGGCATCACTGATGCAATGAACATGAACTTGGGCAAACTCTGGGAGATGATGAGGGGCAGGGAGGCCTGGCATACTGCAGTCCATGGGGTTGTGAAGAGTCAGTCACGACTAGGTGACTGAACAGTAACAACAGCCTTCTTTGTGGTCTATCTCACATCCGTACATGACTGCTGTAAAAACCATAGCTTTGACTAGATGGACCTTTGTTGGCAAAGTGATGTCTCTGCTTTTTAATATGCTGTCTAGGTTGGTCATAGCTTTTCTTCCAAGGAGCAAGTGTCTTTTGATTTCACGTCTGCAGTTGCGATCTGCAGTGATTTTGGAGACCAAGAAAATAAAGTCTGTCACTGTTTCCATTGTTTCCCCATCTATTTGCCATGAAGTGATGGGACTGGTTGAAGTAGTTCAAGTGTGTTGAAGAGAAGAGACATTACTTTGCCAACAAAGGTCCGTCTTGTCAAAGCTATGGTTTTTCCAGTAGTCGTGTTTGGATGTAAGAGTTGGACTATAAAGAAAGCTGAGTGTTGAAGAATTGATGCTTTTGAACTGTGGTGTTGGAGAAGACTCTTGAGAGTCCCTGGACTTCAAGAAGATCAAACCAGTCAATCCTAAATATTCATTGGAAAGACTGACACTGAAGCTGAAACTCCAATACTTTGGCCACCTGATGTGAAGAACTGACTCATCGGAAAAGACCCTGACGCTGGGAAAGATTGAAGGCAGGTGGAGAAGGGGATGACAGAGGATGAGATGGTTGGATGACATCACCGACTTGATGGATGTGAATTTGAGCAAGCTTCAGGAGTTGGTGATGGACAAGGAATCCTGGCTTGCTGCAGTTCATGGGGTTGCAAAGAGTGAGACATGACTGAGTGACTGAACTGATGGGACTGGGTGCCATGATGTTCATTTTTTGAATGTTGAGTTTTAAGCCAGCTTTTTCCCTCTCCTCTATCACCTTCATCAATAGGCTCCTTAGTTCGTCTTCATTTTCTGTCATTAGGGTGGTATCATTGCATACCTGAGGTTATTGATATTTCTCCCAGCAATCTTGATTCCAGCTTGAGCTTCATCCAGCCCGACTTTTGCATCATGTACTCTGCATATAAGTTAAATAAGCAGAGTGACAACATACAGCCTTAATGTATAGTTTCTTATTGTTCAGTTTATTCAGAGTTAAGATTTTTCCACTTGAGGTAAAATATAAAAACTTTATAAGACTATAGGTCTCTTTCAGTTCAGTTCAATTCAGTCACTCAGTCTTGTCCGACTCTTTGTGACCCCCTGAATCGCAGCACACCAGGCCTCCCTGTCCATCACCAACTCCTGGAGTCTACCCAAACCCATGCCCATTGAGTCGGTGATGCCATTCAGCCATCTCATCCTCTGTCGTCCCCTTCTCTTCCTGCCCCCAATCCCTCCCAGCATCAAGGTCTTTTCCAATGAATCAACTCTTTGTATGAGGTGGCCAAAGTACTGGAGTTTCAGCAACAGCATCAGTCCTTCCAATGAACACCCAGGACTGATCTGCTTTAGGATGGACTGGTTAGATCTCCTTGCAGTCCAAGGGACTCTCAAGAGTCTTCTCCAACACCATAGTTCAAAAGCATCAATTTTTCTGCGCTCAGCTTTCTTCACAGTCCGACTCTCACATCCATACATGACCACTGGAAAAACCATAACCTTAACCAGGCAGACCTTTGTTGGCAAAGTAATGTCCCTGCTTTTTAATATGCTATCTAGGTTAGTCATAACATTCCTTCCAAGGAGTAAGCATCCTTTAATTTCATGGCTGCATTCACCATCTGCAGTGATTTTGGAGCCCCCAAAAATAAAGTCTGACACTGTTTCCACTGTCTCCCCATCTATTTCCCATGAAGTGATGGGACCAGATGCCATGATCTTAGTTTTCTGAATGTTGAGCTTTAAGCCAACTTTTTCACTCTCCTCTTTCACTTTTATCAAGAGGCTTAGTTCCTCTTCACTTTCTGCCATAAGGGTGCTGTCGTCTGCATATCTGAGGTTATTGATATTTCTCCTGGCAATCTTGAATCCAGCTAGTGCTTCATTCAGCCCAGCATTTCTCATAGGTCTCTTTACCATTCCTACACTGAAAACCTCACTGGGCAATACTATTTTTTCTTTCCTCTGTTCATAATTTCATAGTTATCACTCTGGCTTTTTGTTGATTAGTGTTTGCCTGGGAAGACTTTTTCTATCCTTGAAAGGATGTATCTTTGTATATGAGTGTGTTTCTGATAGAAAACATATAATTGATTCTTACTTTTATAACTATTCATTCTTTTACCCTTTTATTGGAATGTGTGGGTTACTTACATTTATTGTAATCATTGATCTTTTTGGATTTAAATCTACCATCTTGTTATTTGTTTGCTTTTTATTCTGTTGGGTTTTGTTCATTTTTCTTGCCTTCTTTTGAATGAATTTTAGTATTTTGATTTTTTAATGCCTTCTATTAAGTAATTAATTATACCTCTTTATTTTTTTAGTGTTTGCCCTAGGGGTTAACATATGTATCTTTAACCTGTCATGTGCTATCTTCAAATACAATGGACTGCTGGCAGAAGTGATGGTAGAGAAGATTAGATATCTTAAGTGATTAGAGGGAATACTGTCAAGAATGATGGGGTCAGCAGAGGGAATTCTAATTAGAGGTTGTGATAATATATGTTTTATATTCTCTAACATCAAAGAAGAACAGAGTCAATAGTAGATTGTTTAGAAAATGAATTATTAGGGATATGGAGAATTGATAGGAGATGGTGCTTATGCAACCCTTGAAGGCATACTTTCTCTCTGCTTGTTTACACATCAGTGTATTCTCATGCAGCCATCTGCGTTGTGCATCTACTTTAAAGCACCCCTGAAAGCTTGTTTACCTTTCAGTCAGCAATAGTGTATACATTTATAATGGAGAAAAGGTGTATTCAAACAACTACCTCTGATAACAGTAGTTTTAAAAAGCATTACTGAATTCTCATCATTTGGTTTGGAATATGAAGGATTCAGTGTTTTTGGCTTTTCAGTTTGCATCTGTATACAGTATATCAAAATGATCAAGTTATCCAAATAAATTTATGATGAATTTTGGTTTAAGGACATAAGAATGTTTTTGTGTTTTGTTTTGTTTTCAAATAATGATTTGTATCCAAACAGTGGGGTTTTTAAAGATGGAGAAGGGCTCTTTGTGATACAAAAAGATAGCCTTATGTTATGAAGTGATAGTCTAGAAAAGTGAGTTGAGTCAGAACTTATTCCTACTTTATATATTTAATAATAGAAAGTACCTTGCTTATCGTGTTTCTTCACTATATTTTCTTTAATGTATGTTTCATCCACTTTTGTATTCTTTAGATCAGAAAGTAAATATGATTAAATCTTTCAACACTGATATGAGTTTTTATTCTTTGAGTTTTATAGAGAACAGCTTTCCTTTTATGTTTATTAACAGAAAGTTTAAAAGATCAAAATCAGCATACTATGAACAAGCAATATGAAAGAGAAAGGCAAAGACTTGCTTCTGGAATAGAAGAATTACGTGATAAGTTGACACAAATAGAAGCTGAGAATTCTGATTTGAAGGTTAACATGGCGCACAGAACCAGTCAGTTTCAACTCATTCAAGAGGAGCTGCTAGAGAAAGCTTCAAACTCTAGCAAACTTGAAAGTGAAGTAAGCTTAAATTAGCTATATGTACTAAATTTTGAGAGAAGAAAGAAGTGTTGTATGGTTTTGTAACAATTGTATGTTAAAGATGAGATTTATACACTAAAAAAATGGTATCATGTAAGTTATAACTTCTTTTAAAATTATATTTGGAAACTTTTGGGTTTTAATATATGTTAAAAATAGGAAAACAGTGGCTAAATTTGGTGAGGCTTAAACTGTACTCCTTTCTGTTATTTCTTCCAAGTATAAGTTAATATGGCTAATACATATTTAAAAATAAAAAATTTGGATTATGTAATTGGAACAAAACGGGTAGTAATAAGAGGATTTTGTATTTTAGCAAATAGAACCACCTGGAAAGCTTGTTAAACATGCAGGTTTTGGGTCCTGTTCCAGTGATTTCTGATTCAGTAGGTATGGAGTAGTGCTAAGGAATCTGCATTTTTAAACAGCTGCATGTAAATCTGATGCAGGTATCTTTTGAATTATATCCTGAAAAGGGGATCCTGTATGTTTTATGAATATCTGATCTTCATTTCCACTGAGGACAGAACAAGGATGCCTTATTAGGTAATTGTGTATGAGGACCACATGTGTATATGCTCTATTCACCCTTCAAATCACAGGTTGCTGCTCTTTGAGGGCACTTTTTAAATGTCTGATTTCTCATCTTAAAGTCTATAGCCAAGACTAGGGATAAGACCTGTGGGATAGAAACTTATGTTAATGATAGAAAAGAGAGTTAGTTCATAATTATAGCCATCAGCTTACTTGGAAAATTGTCAGGTACTAAGGTTAATAACTTTTTTTTTTAATTAAAATATTGTCACAGTCTTGTTGAAAATACAGAAAGGGACAAAAAAGAAAATAAAACATTGGTAATTCTACCAGTAGAAACACTGCTGTTAACATTTTATTGTACTAATTTCAGTGTTTAACAGCTACTTTTACAAAATGGGTTAGGTGAGGTCCTGTTTGAACATAGGGGTCTGAATTAATGGAATAGGATGTGTCATATTCTGCTCTTCCCTTCACTGTTTTTCTTCTGAATTGTCATTTATTTTTTAAAAATAATTTTAAATTTATTTCAATGTGTTTTCAGATGACAAAGAAATGTTCTCAACTTTTAACTTTAGAGAAACAACTAGAAGAAAAAATAGTTGCTTATTCCTCCATTGCTGCAAAAAATGCAGAACTGGAACAGGAACTTATGGTAAAAATTACCTCTTTTTGCTGCAAATTTACTGTGTCTTTAAGGAACTTAATTTGTAACAGCATGTTTGTTTTAGTATAATTATTCTAAAATACACCATATAGGAAGGTATAAATTATATCAGACTCTTTCAATTATTCAGTTTTTAGTTCTGTATTTTTAAGTTAATATGGAAAGTTGTTATCTAAAGTTTCTTATTTTTATTTTAGTAGAATTGAAGGAACTTGGAGTAGTTCTTTGATATGTTTCATGAATTTTTGAATAGTTTGATCTTATCATTTTGATACAGTTTTAAAAATAACCACTTTGTCTTTTTTTATAACTATTGAAATATTCTTAAAGCTTGACATTAACTATTGTGATTCTTTAGAGTTTAATAAATTTTATGCTTTACTAATATACTTTTTTTATAATGTACTTTTATGAAAAACTAGGTCTTAATTATATTCTTTTAAAGTGTTCTTGTATTTCTAGGAAAAGAATGAAAAGATTAGGAGCCTGGAAACCAATATAAATACAGAGCATGAGAAAATTTGTTTAGCTTTTGAAAAGGCAAAGAAAATTCATCTTGACCAGCATAAAGAAATGGAAAAGCAGATTGAAAGAGTAAGATATTAATTATGTTTTTATAAGTAAATGTAATATATATTTTAGACTATGAATACTGAAAATCTTAAACATTACTAACTTGTTTTTTTTTTGTTTAAATATATTAGGAAGCAAGACAGAAAAGTTAGTAGTAAGTACTATAATTAGAATCCCATTACTTCTAGATCATTTTACAATGCTTTCTCCTTTAGTACCCCTGCCATTTGTTTCAGTCATTATTTTTTGACATTATCAAACTAGAGTGATTCTGTAACTCTTTTTCCACTAGAGATATTATTTGCCTGAAGATTGGTTGAGTAGACGTTCTCTTGATCTTGGGTTAAAAGTGAAGAGCAGAAACAAAAGTAAAGGAGGAATTGTGAGACCAGAAGCACAAGACTAAATAAAAAAGAGTTTGGATGGGTTTAAAGCAGAATGTATTAATATTTAACACACACAAATATAAGCTTATAATATAGAGCAATAGAAATTAGCCTGAGCAACAGAGAGAAAGAAAATTTGGGGAAGAAACGAACACAGCCTTAGAGACCTGTTGAATAATATCAGAAGGTCTAACATTTATGTCACCAGAGTACCAAAGAGGAGAAGAATGAGACTGGTACAAAAAATATTTGAAGGAATAATGATTAAAATTTTGCCAACTTGTGAAGGAAATAAATTTATAAATTCAACAAGCTTAAAGAGGATTTTTGTTGTTCAGTCGCTCAGTTGTATCCAACTCCTTATGACCCTATGGATTGCAGCACACCAGGCTTCCCTCTCCTTCTTTAGCTCCTGGTGTTTGCTCATACTCACGTCTTTTGGGTTGGTGATGCCATCCAACCAACTCATCCTCTGTCGTCCCCTTTTCCTCCTGCTCTCAATCTTTCCCAGCATCAGGGTCTTTTCCAGTGAGTCAACTCTTCATATCGGGTGGCCAGAGTATTGGAGCTTCAGCTTCAGTCTTTCCAATGAATATTCAGGATTGGTTTCCTTTAGGATTGACTGGTTTCATCTCCTTGCTGTCCAAGGGACTCTCAAGAGTCTTCTCCAGAACCACAGTTCACCATCAGTTCTTCAGTGCTCAATCTTCTTTATGGTCCATCTCACATCCATACATGATGACTATAAAAACCATAGCTTTGAGTATATGGACCTTTGTTGGCAAAGTGATGTCTTTGCTTTTTAATATGCTGTCCAGGTTTGTCATAGCTTTTCTTCCAAGGAGCAGGCATCTTTTAATTTCATGGCTACAGTCACTATCCACAGTGATTTTGGAGCCCAAGAAAATAAAAGTCTGTTACTGTTTCCACTTTTTCCCCATCTATTTACCATGAAGTGATGGGACTGGAAGCAAAGAAAATAACTTCAAGACACATCAGAATGGTTGCTGAGAATCTTGAAAGCAGTCAGAGATAAATAACGCATTGCATATAGAGGAACAAAGATTAAAATTACTGCAGACTTCTCATCAAAAATAAAAAACTGAACTGTGAAGGTTAGAAGACTGAAGAACAAAATTTTTTGACTGCTCAGAGAAAAATTGTCAACCTAGAATTTTATGTCCAGCAATAATATTCTTTAGGCGATCAAACCAGTCAATCCTAAAGGCAGTCAACCCTTAATATTTATTGGTAGGATTGATGCTGAAGCTGAAGCTCCAATACTTTGGCTATCTGATTCGAAGAGCCGACTCCTTGGAAAAGACTGTGATTCTGGGAAAGATTGAAGGCAAAAGGAGAAGTGGGTGGCAGAGGATCAGATGGTTAGACAGCATTGCTAACTCGGACATGAATTTGAGCAAATTCTAGGAGATAGCAAATTCTAGGATGGAGAAGCCTGGCTTGCTGCAGTCCATGGCGTTGCAAAGAGTTGGCTACAATTTAGCAACTGAGAAACAGCAATCCTGATGAGTGTGAGGTGGCATTTCACTGTAATTTGATTTGCATTTCCCTCATGATCAGTGATATTGAGAATCTTTTCATGTCTTTGTTAGTCAGTCATATATCTTTAGAGAAATGTGTATTCAGTTCCTTTGCCCATTTTTTAAATTGGGTTGTCTTTATATTGTTACTGAGTTTTAGGATTTCTCTATATATTCTTGATATTGATCCCTTATGAGGTATATGATTTGCAAATAGTCTCTCATTCTGTCGGTTTCCTTTTTACTCTGTTGAGAGTATTTGGATACACAGAATATTAGAATTTTCATGAATTCTAATTTGTCTATTTTTTCTTTTGTTGCTCACATCTTTGATGTCATATTTAAGAAATTTTTACTAAATCCAGTGTCATGAAACTTTTCTTATAAGATTTCTTCCAAGACTTCTTTTTTTTAATGTCTGCCATTTATGTCTTTTGTCCATTTTGAGTTAATTTTTATGGTGCTAGGTAAGGGTCTAACTTCATTCTTTTTGCATGTGGATATCCTGTTTTATGTGCACTGTTTGTTGGAAGAACTGTCCTTTTCCCCCACTGAATGATCTTGGCTCCCTTGTCAAAATCATTTGACCATATGTGTGAGTATTTATTTCTGGTCTCTTGATTCTATTCTATTGGTGTATATATTTGTCTTGTGCCAATTCACACTGTTTTTGTTACTGTAGCTTTGTAATATTGATAGATTTGAAGTCAGGAAGTGAGGAAACTCCAGTTTTGTTCATTTTCAGGATAGTTTCAGCTGTTCAGGGTCCCTTGAGATTTCATATGAATTTTAAGATGGGTTTTTCTGTTTCAACAAAAAAGGTCTTTGGGATTTTAAAAGAGATTATATTGCATTGAGTAATACTGACATATTAACAGTATTAAATCTTCTAATCTGTGAACTTGGAATATGTTTCTATTTATGTTTTCTTTGGGGCTTCACTGATGGCTAAGGTGGTAAAGAATCTGCCTGCAATGTGGGAGACTCAGGTTCGATCCCTGGGGTGGGAAGATCCCATGAAGAAGGGAATGGCAACCCACTCCAATATTCTTGCCTGGGAAATTCCATGGACAGAGGAGCCTGGCGGGCTACAGTCCATGGGGTCACAAAGAGTCAGACACGACCGAGCAACTAACACTTTGGCTTATGTTTTCTTTAATTCCTTTCATCAATGTTTTTTAATTTTCATTGTACAACTCTTTTACTTCCTTGGTTAATTCCTAAGTATTTTTTTCTTTTTGATACTACTATAACAAATCGTTTTTGTCATTTTCTCTTCAGATTGTTCATTGTTCATGTATAGAAATGCAGCTGATTTCTGTGTGTTAAATTATATCCTCTGCTTTTCTGATTTCATTTATCAGTTCTAGCAGATTTATTGTATGAAATCTTTAAGTTTTGTTTTTTTACAGTATATATAAAATTATATCATCTGCCAGCAGATAGTTTTACTTCTTCCTTTCCAATTTGTATGCCTTTTTTTTCTTGCTTAATTCCTGTGGCTGGAACTTCCAAGACTGTGTTGAATAGAAGTGGTTAGAGGGGCGTCCCTTTCTTGTTCCTGAGCACAGAAGAAAAGCTTTCAGTCTTTTGTCATTGACTATGTTAGCTGTAGGTTTTTCATCTCAGGGTTTTATTTTGTGAAGGTAGTTTCCTTCTGTTCCTAATGTGTTAAGTGTTTCTAGCATGAGAGTTTATTGAATTTTGTCCTTCCTTCTGGGACTTCTCTGATGTGCACATTGATCTGCTTGACAGTATCCAACAGGTCCCTTATGTTCTGCTCACTTCAGTCTTTTTTCTTTCTGTTCCTCCAATTTATGGTGTGTTATTAGTTTTCATTTGAGTGTCTCCATTCCACTGTTCCTTGGTTTTAATCATTTCAGATTACTTGTTGCTACTCTGTTTTTATAGTGTGTATGTGTACCTGTGATATATGTCACATATGAATGATTTTATACCTTTTACATAATATGCACAAATATTCACATAAACATAGCTTATTCATATTTTGTCTTCACAAAACTTTTGGATGTTTGATAACAACAGTCTTAGTGGTGAAGTTGTAAAGACAAACATTTCTAATGAAAGTATTAATTTTGATACCCTTTGTAAGAAATACCTAATGAAGTTAGAAATGTGCATATCCTACAACCAGGAAGTCCACTTCTAGGTGGTATGTTCTCAAGAAACTCTAATACATGTACATAAAGAGATACATACAAAGATTGTTACTATAGCATTATCATTGTAGTGAAAAAGAATATTAACCATTCCCAAGTAGAAGAGTGAACAAGCTGTAGTTTGTTGTTATAATGGAATACTCTCTTTGAACTAGATCCGTATATGGATACATATAAATATTTTAAACAATATTATGCCTCCTGCATTGACAGGTGGGTTCTTTACCACTGAGTCACCAGGGAAGCCCTAAAAGAATATTAAGTGAAAGAAGCTAGTTGCTGAAACTTGGAACTAGTGTTGATATTGTCTATGTGAATTTTCAAAACAGAAAATTACATTACGTTCATGGGTCTACATATGTAGTTAAAAGCACGGAAAATATGCATGAAGCTGAAACACACTAGAGAATGATACAGAACAGTTTCAGTATAGTATTGGTGAGGGAGGAAAAGAATAAGACCTGGATTTGTTATTTTATTTCTTCTCTAAAAGGAGGGAAGCTAAAGGAAATTTTGCAAAATGCAATCATCTGTGTAATTTCAATAGTAATATAACATGTGAGTGTTATATTTTGTGTGTACATTTGACTTTGAACAATGTGAAAGTTAGGGGTGCCAACTCTTGCACAGTTGAAAATCTACGTATAACTTTATAGTCAGCCCTCTTATCCAAGGTTCCTATCTGTGGATTCAAACAACCTCTGGTGGTATAGTACTGTAGTACACATTTATTGAAAAGAATCCATGTATAAGTGGACTCAGGCAATTTAAACCTGCTTTGTTCAAGAATGGACTATATTTAAAATGTTTTGGATTTTAAAAAAAGTTAACATGAAAATTAATAAACCCTGTTTCTGTTTTTAGCTTGAATCTCAACTAGAGAAAAAAGAACAACAATTTAAAGAACAAGAAAAGACTATGTCTATGCTGCAGCAAGATATAATATGTAAACAACATCATCTTGAATCACTAGACAGACTCTTGACAGAAAGCAAAGAGGTAAAATCATCTTTATAAAAGTGCTCTTTAAAAGCTTTTAACATTCCTTTAATTCTAATCAAATCAATTTTTTAACAACTTGTTACTAATGCTAAAATATTTATACACTTACTTATTTTTTGCTACCAATCTGTATGTTTTTAGGAGATGGAAAAGGAAAATGTGAAGAAAGATGAAGCTTTGAAAGCATTACAGAACCAAGTATCTGAAGAAACGATCAAGGCTAGTATGCTAATACTTTAAAAAAATTTTTTTCTTTTAATTTTTTTTAATTAATAGAGACATTCCTGTGGCTTTTTTCATTTATAAATTGTAAAAATCATTTACTTAAAAATGAATAAAGTAGTAAAAATTTTACCTAAATCAATGAACTTAGTTAAGTAGTATAGTTTTTCATTGAGAATTATGATCTTAATTATTTGATAATTAGCTTTTAGTTTATCTGTAATATTATCTGTAAGATTATCACAAGCTAGTTTATAGATTATCTAGCCTCCTTTCTTTTTGCCTTAAGACTTTTTTTTTTTTTTACCAAAAACTGGGGTTTTTTTTAACTGTAGGTATTTATTAACATTGCCAGTAAAAATATTAACAAAGAAAGTGAAGAAAGATGAAACTACAAACAGTAGAGTTTTGCTTCTTTTTACTAGTTCTGCTATATGATTAAATAGGGGATAAATCCAGAATTTCTGAGTAAAATACAGTTTTATTGCTATTAAGAGTATATCCCTACAGTTAAAGGCATGGGCTTTGGGGCTAAAATGATTTGGGTTTCATTTCTGACTTCAGTGTGCTTACTAACTGACTGTAACCTTGGCTTGGTTATTTAAACTCTCTGAACTTTAACTTCTTCATCTTTAAAATAGGAATAACAATGCACTAGAAGAGGGTGGATTTGAGGATTAATTAAAATGAGGATATAAAATGCTTAGCACAGCCTCCAACTAACAAAAATAAATGGGAAAAAAAATAATAGAGTGAACAGGATAAAGATAGTTTAAAAAAAAATGCTTAGCACACACTAAGTTACTCAGAGTTTGCCAAGTAATTACTATATATCCAATGTTTTCTCATTATTATTATTATTTCTTTTTGACTGTACTGTGCAGCTGATGGGATCTTAGTTCACCCAGCAGAGATCAAACCCTGGCTCTTAGCAGTGAAAGCACAGAGTCCCACCCACTGGACTTCCAGGGAATTCCCTTGACCCCCTATTTAAAGTTTACTGCCAGATCTCACCATTTTCAGGGCACAATTTTTTCTTTATGATTAATAAGCAGTATGTGGGATGATTCTTGAAGACCATGTTGAAAGCTGTGTTCCTCAACAAGCTTATAGTCAATAGTTTTTAAAATCCAGTGATGAATCTTGCCCAAATGAGTTTTTGCATTGCTAATTTTTATCAGGTGCGATGTTCTGACAGTTTTTTTTTTTTCCTGTGTGCAGAATTTGATACAAGTACCAATGCTTATTCTCATGCTTAAGAAAGAAAATTTGTAAATAGTTATACCTTCATAAAACAATTTAAAAATTATTTTTAGGGCAGCAGTTTATTAACAAAGGTAATTATTCAAAATTACAAACTTTTAAGCTGTTGTTATATTCACAAGCTATAGGGACAGCCTTTGGCAACTGTGTGTCTTTTAAGATCCTCCTTTTAGACATAAGATAATTTAGACATAGGATAATTTCATGATGTAGAATATTATCTGCAAGAGGAAGCAGTTTTCTATTTTTTCTTATTTTGCTGAAATTTCTTTCACACTTTCATGACTACTTACTAAAAGGCTATTAGCATTGAGGGGGAAAAAAATCACTCCCAAGAAACTCAGAATTACGGTAATGAATAGAAGGAATCAAGACAGGAATGAATCTCATTAACAGAGGAGGGGGAAATGAAGTATATAGGCAAATGCTGAAAGAAATTTACTGAATTGAGTTGCTCTTTGCTCATTTGCTGTTGAAGGTTATGGTAGCATGAAGCATTTGCAGCTTTATGAATACTTGAACCAAGTTACATGCTGCCTTTCTAAAAATGTTTTAACTAATTGAAAGGAAAAACAGCCTTCTCCTTCTTAATTTTTTTTTTCCTAGCTGACAAAAACATTTCAATTCTTAAGTGACTTCAGAATATTCACACTATAGCATTTTTAGTACCATACACCAGTTCGTACTCACTTTATTATTTTTCTTGATCAAGGGAATTTAAGGAATAGGTTTAAATACTGCTTACCTTTTTAGAAAATGTTTTAGGATGTCTGGCCTACAGGTCCTTGACAGTTGGCCCCAGTCTATTTTGCCAGTCTCATCTCTCCAATACCCATCTCTTACAAATTCATGCTTTTGGTACCCTGCTGCTGCTGCTAAGTCGCTTCAGTTATGTCCGACTCTGTGCGACCCCATAGACGGCAGCCCACCCTGGGATTCTCCAGGCAAGAACACTGGAGTGGGTTGCCATTTCCTTCTCCAATGCGTGAAAGTGAAGTTACTCAGTCGTGTCCGACTCTTCGTGACCCATGGACTGCAGCCTACCAGGCTCCTCCGTCCATGGGATTTTCCAGGCAAGAGTACTGGAGTGGGGTGCCATTGCCTTCTCCGATTGGTACCCTAAGCTCCTGCCAACTTCTTACTACTCCTTTTCACAGTGCTTTGTCTCCGAATGTACTTCGCTCTTCCTAAATGCCCTTCCTCACTTGTTCATGGCTGTTTATTCTTCAGGACTCCAATCTCTGGCTCCCTGGTTTGCAGTAATAATTAATTTTCTAAATAAATCTCTTCTTTAATAGTGTTTTATATCTTAAGGTGGACTATCTATTCATTGGTTGAAGTAGGTAACATTAGGAGATAACTGTAAAATATTGAGCGTATCATAAGCATTCATTAGTATTTTTCCTTTTTGCTGCTTAGGTCAGACAACTAGATTCGGCACTGGAAATTTGTAAGGAAGAACTTGCCTTGCATTTGAACCAATTGGAAGGAAATAAAGAAAAGTTTGAAAAACAGCTAAAGAAGAAATCTGAGGAGGTAAGTAAATTGACATTTCATCACATGTAGCTTCCCAGGTGGCAGTGGTAAAGAATCCACCAACACAGGAGACGAAGGAGACCTGGGTTCAATCCCTAGGTCAGGAAGATTCCCTGGAGCAGGAAATGGCAATCCACTCCAGCATTCTTGCCTGGAAAATTCCATGGACAGAGGAACTTGGTGGGCTACAGTCTTTGGGGTCGCAAAGAGAAGGGTCAGACATGACTGACTGAGCATATACACATATAGCTAGGTTTTAGAAAATATTATTTGATTCATAGTCCATCCATTCTGTTAGTAACAGGTGATGTTATAAAGATATTTTACCAAATCAGTGGATATTCCCCAGTCACATACTAGCTGAATAATTAAATGGCCCCAGAGCATATTGATAGAAAGCCAGCTGAAAAAACTACATTTTGATTATCCAAAACACAAAGCTATAAATACCCCTTTGAGTTTTTACCTCAGGCAAATATTCTTTTACAGATTTTGAAATAAATACATTTCTGATTAAAATAGTAGTGACTTTGAGGTCCCAAAGTATTTTGAAAATATTTTAATTTTGTATTAAATGCTTTATTTATTATTTTTTTGTGTGTGATTTTTGTCATACATTGAAATGAATTAGCCATGGATTTACATGTATATTAAATGCTTTAAAAAGTGATAAAGTATGTGTTCATAGGGAATTACATTGTCAACGTGATAGAAGAAAATAAACACTAAATAGATGAGAATAAGCCTAACCTATTTCTTCATAAAGCATTATTCAGTAAAATAAATTCTTTTATTAATAAATACCTTTATTCGAATTGATGAACTTAAGTTTTGTGAAGTTGGCATTGTGTCAGTAACTTTCCTGGGTTATATTTTATTTTTTAGTAGTAATTTGCTTTTAAACTAAAGTGGAAGTTAAAGGGTAGTAGAGTGATATGCCAATAAAAATTTGATAGATATAGGTTCATTTTTGTGAATTAATATTTGTGTTTCAACTAAATATTTTTGGTACTTCAGTATTTTTAATTGAAATTATTTTGCTAGTGGCTGGGTTACTGAAATAAATTTTTTTTTTCTCCATTTATTTTTATTAGTTGGAGGCTAATTACTTTACAATATTGTAGTGGTTTTTGCCATACATTGACATGAATCAGCCATGGATTTACATGTGTTCCCCATCCTGAACCCCCCTCCCACCTCCCTCCCCATGAAAAAAAATTTTTATTTGTTCTTATGTGGTATTAGTTTCTCAGTGTTTTGGTTAGGCCTTATCTTTTTTCTAATATTTTATCTTCCTTTATTAACTGGTCCATTTTTTTCTTTGCATAAGAAAGTAACTATAACAAGATGTTACAGTAAAGCAAAGAATAGTGTTTAAACTTTTCTTGCAGGCAAGTCAGTTCTATATAAAATAAACTACAGCAGAGGTGTGATCTGTAGTTTTGTCAGGAACTAACAGGAAAAACAAAACAGATGTTAATGATACATACTTACACTAATTATTTTCATACAGACAAAATTAAGATAGTTTATCATTAAAAAGAATTATCATAATAATATTAGAAATTGCATAGTTGCCTGTTAGATCTAAAGTTCTCCATTTTTAGTAAAGAGTCATCATATAATGAAGTAGTTTGAAATTTAAGAGCTTCTTGTTATAAACGAAGAATATTTGACTCAAGCCTTTCATGTTGCTGTTGACTGTTTGACTGCCAGATAATTAGAAAAAAGAACCAAATCAGAATTCGTCTCCACTGTTTCTTAGGAGTTTAAAACTGCTTTCTTCTGGATTGGTATTTATTAGAAAGATTGTTTGCCTCAAAGGAATGGGTTTATTTTCCTTCATTTAAAAAGTTATTACATAGGCAACAATAAGAAATCTGTTAAAGAAGATTTACCTACTGTTCACTCTAATACTAATACTTTTCACTTTTCTATTTGCCTGAGTGTTTTTCATGTTAATGAAATGAGGTTCTTTTTTTTTCCACCTTATTTTATAAAATTTTATATTTGCTATTGTCCTTTAAATTAGGATTTGAAATGTTTGCATCTTTCAAAATCTGATTTATATATCATTTAGTTAAACTTTCCCCTTACTTTAGGGAACAGGTGACAAATACTATAAAATACATATTAAGTTATGCTGTATTATTTATACAATTTTAAAATGGTTTCTTTTGGCACTTTGTAGGATTTAGATTACTGGACAAAGGCCTTTTTTTTTTTTTCTCCCTTCTTAATAGGTTCTTCCAGATAACTCTAAAGGTATCAGATGTTAATGATACTTTTTTGCTTTAAAGCAGTTTTGGGGACCAGCATATTAAAGTCCTAAATATTTGGAATGAATGAATACAGTTTCTTAGATGGGTATTCCATTATGAGTTTTTTGGAGCAAGAATATTCAGGAGTGCTTTGCTGGAGTATTATTTTACAAACAGTGGCAATGATAGCAACAATAATACACTAAATAGCACCTAACATTTATGCAGTGTTTTCTTGGCTATGGCTTATTATCAGTAGGGATAAAAGATAACATCAGATGCAGTATGAAGAAATCTATGGCTTCCTATGTTCTCTTCCTCGTTCTGAGAGAAGTCACATAGGATACACTTCTTTCTATAGAAGTGAAATGCAGTAACATGTATGCAGTATGTCTGCCCAAGGAAGCCTGCTTATGGCTCTTTTTATTAGGGACCTGGTCACATAAGAACAGCCATAGGTATCAAAATTCCAAGTTCCCAGAAGGAAAGCATGATTTGGTGTCGTAGCCAGGGAAAACAATCTTATCACTTAGGGAATGTTTCAAAAGCCACATTCTCAGACATCAGCCAAGAATCAACCCTATTAATAGGTTGATGATGAAGCAATTGCAGTTTCAGACTGTGAATTTTAAATCATTGTAACTAGGCTCAAACACATCTTTAATAATCAAAATAGAAACCATAACAGTCAACACATTTTTGTCAACAAGAAATAAGTTTGTTTATTCCTATAGCATAAAAATCTGCTTCAGGATTCTAAAAACTCTTAAGAAAGCATTTCCTGCCTCTTGCTGGTTATGGAAGTATTTTCCCTGCAAAAAGTTGTTGAGATGCTTGAAATGGTAGTCGGTTGATGAGAGATTAGGTGAATATGACAGCTGAGGCAAAAGTTCACATCCCAGTTCGTTGGGCATTGTCTTGCAAAAGAATTGGGCCCATTCTGTTGACCAATGCCTGGTGCAGCTGTTGCAGTTTTTGGTGCATCTCATTGATTTGCTGAGCATACTTCTCAGATGTAATAGTTTTGCCACGATTCATAAAGCTGTATTGAATCAAAGGGCAGCAGACCACCAAACAGTGATCATGACCTTTTTTGATGCACGCTGGGCTTTGGGATGTTTTGTCTTTTTCTTGGTCCAGTCACTGAGGTGGTCGTTGCCAGTTGTGGTATAAAGTCCACTTTTCTTGAACCATTCATTCGAGAAATGGTTCATTGTTGTTGTGCAGAATAAAAGAAGATGACACTGCAAAACGCCAGTTTTTTTTTATTTTTGGTCAGCTCATGCGGCACCAATTATAGAGATTTTTCACCTTTCCAGTTTGCTTCAAATGCCAAATGACTAGAATGGTCGATGAGTTCTTGGGCAGCTTCACGTGTAGTTGTAAGAAGTTTAGCCTCAGTGATCCTCTCAATTGGTCTTTGTCAACTTCTGATGGCTGGCCACTGCATTTCTCATCTTCAAAGCTCTCGTCTCCTTTGCAAAACTTCTTGAAACATCACTGCACTGTACGTTCATTAGCAAAATGCGTTTTAATGTTGTGAGTTGTCTCTGTTGCTTAATGACCCATTTTGAACTCAAATAAGAAAATCGCTCAAATTTGCTTTTTTGTTTAACATCATTTCTAGTCTAAAATAAATATAAAATACATAGCAACTAATAAGTCATTAGTAAAAATCATAAACCAAGAAATATGCATTAAAATGGTATATAACATAACCACATTTATTTAAGAATGTATTCCAGTATCAAACAGCACAGTTTAACAATGCAAAACTGATTACTTTTGCACCAACCCAATAACATATCTTCATCAGAAAAATGAGCCCTGCCCTTCCACATAATAAATTATAGCAATGAATACAATTGTCCCATGTAACAAATGAGGATAATTATCTAATGAGGTAGACACCATTGACATTTTATTGCTTTTTATTTGAAATTATAATGAGAAATTTATATATTTGTTAGGTATATTGTTTACAGAAAGAGCTGAAGATTAAAAATCATGGTCTTCAAGAAACTGCTGAGCAAAATGTTATTCTGCAGCATACTCTTCAACAACAACAGCAAATGTTACAACAAGAGACAATTAGAAATGGAGAGCTAGAAGACATTCAAACTAAACTTGAAAAACAGGTATATTTTATTGGTCAAAATGGAGTTATGATATAGAAAGTTTTTAAATTGTTAATAGATTTATTTTGCTAGTTATATAAATTGCTATTTAAACCTCACAGATACCATATTGAGTTATTACTCCAAAGAAAGAGTCCTGGGACATTTTGTAGTAGAATCTAATCTTCTTTCATTCATTCCCAAGTTCATCTGAATTATTCTGACAGATATTTTACATTTTTTTATTTGTTTTTCTCTTGTCAAACTTAACAGAAGAGTATAAATTAAAAAATGATAGTTCTGTGTAATCACACTACACCTCACCTTTTTGTCCTTTGTATGACTTTTTAATCTATATATTCTAAACTTATCCTCAGCCTCTCCAGTAGCACTAAGGAATTTCCTCTCTGTATATTCAAAGAGATCAGGCAGGTATTCTATATTTTCTTCTTTAGAGACATCTGTCCTGTGGCTCTCCATCCTTTTTGCTCAAGTCTAGACCTACTGTTTGCTATGCCTGATGCACAGCTTCATCCTGGAGCATTTCTTCATCTCATTGGTGTTTGATTTCTACTTTATAAATTCCTTGTTGTTGACTCTAGTATTTAAAAGATTGACTTGTAATTCTTGTTCTTTCTGAAAATTATTTTATTTCTGTAATTGTCATGTAGTTTTCTTCTGTTTTTATCAGTTCGTTTGTATTTTTGGTTTGATGATTTTATTTCTTTGTGCTATTTAGGAGATTTTTTTTGTTTTTTCTGATTTCTTTGAGGGTCTAAAGAAGTTTATGTCTAAAAATTCCTTCAGAACTTGGGATAAATTTTCTAGTATATATTTTTTTCTACTTTTTATTCATGTTCCACTATGTACAGGTTTTGTATTGGATATATTCAATTTTTTACTTTAGATTTTTTCTGCAAATCATTGTGCCATTTAATCAAGCACAGAGTGGGTAGAATTTTCCATGGTTCCCTTCCCTTTTTACCTGGTTACTATTTTAATTTTATACTTGAAACTTGAGTTGGGAGGTGTGGTAATTAATGACTTATAGTCTGTACTGAGTTCTTCAGTGAGAGGTTTTAAAGAGCAGGGAGGATATTAAAGTCATTAGTGAAGTGAAGTTGCTCAGTCGTCTCCGACTGTTAGCAACCCCATGGACTGCAGCCTACCAGGCTCCTCCGTCATTAGTGAGATACTAATTTTTGAGATCACAGTCATGTAAATGTTCATTGAAAATAAAATGGCTGAGGTTAACTATGGAGAGAATATAGAATGAGGGGTGAGATGATTGACTTCAGCAGAGCTCTGAAGGATGCAGTCATGGAAGCCAAAGTATTTCATGAAATGAGAGATAATTGGTGTCATGGGCTATTGCAATCAGTGTCAAGTATTGTCAAGTAAATTGAAGGTTGAGTAATGTCCATTGGAATTAGCTGCATGGAAGCCTTTAACATAGTGTAGTTTCTGTAGAGTGGCCAGATTTCTATGGGTTGAGGAATGAATGAGAAGAAAGAAAAATACTACAAAAAGCATAGAAAAAAATCTGAGAAGTTGAGCTACAGAGAGAAGAAAAGAAGTGGTAGTTGGAGGTGGTATGGAGGAAAGGTTTTTATGATGGGAAGGTCTTTGACATGTGTACATGCTAATATAAAGAAACCAGAAGAAAGATACTGAAGATACAGCAGAGAGTAGAGATGGTTAATAGTTTGAAGTTCCTGAGAAAGTGGACAGGAATTGAATCCAGAACACCTGTGGAGTAGTTTGACTTATATAGGGGGAAGAGTACTTCCTTCAGTGTAGTGAAACAGAAGGAAGAATGAATAGGAGCAAATGCAAGTAAGGAATCCTTCACTGTATGAGCCAATTTGTGAAGAAGGAGAGGAACATAGTTTGACAAGAGAATAAAGAACATTTCACATGAGGATACTCAAAAGAGGAACATTTATCATTATTTTGTCCAGTTATTTTAAGTCCTATTTTAGTGTTATGTTATGGTCACTTCTATAAATATGCATAATATGAAATATCTTCCTTATTAATAATTAAGTTTTGCCCTCATATTTCCAAAACACAATTTTTTGGTCTTAACTTTGAAATTGAATGATAATCTAGGATACAAATTTATATAAATATTTTTCTTCTGAGGAATATTGGGCTGTGTTTGAATTTAAAATATTTACTAAAAATTGCTTTCCAAGGTATCAAAACTGGAACAAGAGCTTCAGAAACAAAGGGAAAGTTCAGCTGAAAAGTTGAGGAAAATGGAGGAGAAATGTGAAGCAGCTACATATGAAGCAGATTTGAAAAGGCAAAAAATTATTGAGCTTACTGGTACTACCAGGTAAAATGAACATGTTAGTTTGTGTCTTCCTTTTTTACCATCAGTCATATTTGAGTTTCAAAATAAGATAATGTTCAGTGAAGTATTTGCTTGAGAAATTTCTCCACGGTCTGTATTCCTATAGCATTCCTATACCTCCCTTTTATCCTTCATTATGCCTTTTTTAAATTACAGTTTAATATCCTTTACCTTCCTACTATATTGTAAGTTGCTTAAGGCCAAGATAATTTGTGGTTTATTTTAAGGGTCCTCCCACAACAATTAGCATGGATCCTTGTACCTCATATCCTAATGCTAATGGGGATGCTAGAGAAAAACCTGAAGGTTAAAACAGAACCACAGGGCTTTATCTGAAGCCTTTGAGGTGAAATGCATCTGAGTTCAGTTTTTCAGATTTCAGAGGGAAAGCGCGGTATCAATATATGTATTATGTGTGCTAAGTTGCTTCGGTGTGTCCAGCTGTTTGTGACCCCATGGACTGTAGGCCACCAGACTCCTCTGTCTGTGTGATTCTCCAGGCAAGAAGACTGGATTGGGTTGCCATTTCCTTCTGCAAGGGATCTTCCTGATCAGAGATTGAACCTACGTCTCTTATATCTCCTGCATTGGCAGGCAGGTTCTTTACCACTAACTCAGCAACTGTTGTATTAAATTGAATTGTGAATAATGTTAAAAGTGGCAGGGAAAGATGATAGAAAATTTTCATGGATTCTAATTGTTTATAGGGACGGAATAACTTAATAAAAGAAAGTTGACTTCTTGATTAAACATTAAAATCACCTGAGGAGCTTTAAAAATACTGATGCTTAGGTCCCACCTCTAAAGATCCTGATTTAATATGGCTGCACTGGGCTAAGACATGAAAAAAAAAAAGAAGGGAATTAAGAGCTGAAAGCTATAGCTAGCTTCCCCAGAGTGCTTCTGTTTTGTTGACAAGAGTTGACATAGTATTTTACTCTTAATTATCCCACCATTCTACCAACAGGAGTAAGAGTTAACTTACACATTTGAACCACAACATCCTCAGACTCCCTCTCCCCCTCTGACAAGAATAAAGATAAGACCTTTGTGCTTTGAGTAGCAACTTGCTTCCCCGCATGTCCTCAACTCTGTCAAGGGGGTCAAGAAGATATCCTGAGTTTAAGACCACAGTTCTTCAAACTTTTCTTCCATCAATAGTTATCTATCCACTAATGCAGCCTCACCACCATTGTGTACCTTAATTCCACAGAGAGTATTCAGCCTTATAACTTTACTTTTGGTTGTTTCAGACACCACAAGAAGCAACAGATTGGCATTAGAATTACCCTCATTTCTCTCATACTAAGTCCCCAAAAGCTCATGAGTTTTCTTTCCTTTTCTCACCCTATCTGAACTTCGGACAGATTTTCACTTCATCCTCTGGAATTCACAATCCATCCTGAGAGACATCCCTTATATTCTTTATCTCTTCTTTTCTCTTGCTATAACAGAAGTGTGACTCTCCACTGAGGGCATTGCTTCTTCCCCTGTAGCCCTCTAAAGTAAAAACTTCCCCCCATAGTTCTTGTACCAAAGAATTGAGATGTGGAATAATATAACATAACTATGAACCTCATGTTATCAGATCATATTCTTCACTGTTGCTGACACCAGCAGACCACCTGACTTACTAAAGCTGAATCCAACACTAGTTCTGTCTTTATTCATGGGGATTTCAATATACATCTATCTAGCTGATCCTCATCTACTCACTCACATGGTTTACAGTAGATTTTATCATTTCCGATACCTCCGTTATTTCAACGTAATCTGAATACTGTTCATCTACATGTGTGTTATTACCCCATTCCCTTTACTACCCCAAATTCAACAATTCTTTGATGTAACTAGGACCTCTGATCCTTCAAATCTACCACTTTCTCATTCCCTAATGCCCTTTTTCCTCTCTTTACCTAGCTTAAATTCTGCTCATTAAAATCACTGATTGGCATATGGCTGTTCCCTTACCTCTCTCTTACTTTGTGGTACTCAGAACTAAAACTCCAACTCAGAATAATTCATGCTTGCATCTTTACAGAGGCTGGAGAAAAATATAACTACAGTGACCAGTCTTACTTTAAATCCATAATTTCAAAACCTTAAGCATTTTCTTAATGCTGTCTGGAAGTCACAATATTACTCATTCTTGTAAGGGGGACTCTCTTACACCTTTGCGTTTTCTTTCATAACTCCAACAGCCTCTCCCCAATCCTTCCTCTCACTTACGATCTTGCTTTTGTTTCACTAAGAAAATTGAAATAATTGCTGCTTTGTTTTCTTACACCCATCCTTTGATTTCTAGACAAAAACTTTTCATAATTATAGCTGAAAGGCACATTCAGTTCCTCTAAGTTCTAATTACTAGTAGGAAACTTATGAACTAAATGAATAAATTTCACAAGAAAGATAATATTCTAGTTCCAAGATCTTCTCTTCAGGAAGCAGGATTTTTCTGTATTCCAACTATTGGCTTCTTTCATTTCTGAAACTATAATTTATAAAACTGTCTTTCTCTCCCCAGAGCTATTAGTGTTAAAATACATCTGTTATACAGCTCCTTGGATCTGTTTTAAAATTAAAATATCTCTAGATAGAAAACTAATTCATTGAGTACCCTCTGTGTGCCAGGCAATGTACTAAGTAAACACATCATTTAGTTGTGTTTAATGGTGTGTAATTGGTGCAGAATTACAGTCTATTAATTATTTGTTTTATTTTGTTTGTTTCTAATTAGGCAAGTAAAACTCGAGATGGATCAATACAGAGAAGAGCTATCTAAAATGGAAAAAGAAATAATGCACCTAAAACGAGATGGAGAAAATAAAGCAATGCATCTCTCTCAGTTAGACATGATTTTAGAACAGACAAAGACAGAACTAGATAAGAAAACAAGTGCTGGTAAGCGACAGGGTGGCTCAGCCCAGCTGCCTACAACTGTATATTTAAAGAAATGGAATAAAGTGAGACTCTGAGATGAGGGAAAAGGATAATCCTTGGTATCCTGTCTCTTACTCTGATAGATGAATAAAGTTAGGTACTCTTAGTTATAATTATTTACAAAGTTCTGAGTAACAAGTAACTTATATATAATTCTAAAATTATTCTCTGCTTTTAACAGTGAAGGATTTAGAAAAGTTACAGCACCACACTGAAACTGAGCTAACAGAAGCCTTGCAGAAACGGGAAGCGCTAGAGACTGAACTGCAAAATGCTCATGGAGAATTAAAGAGTACTCTAAGACAGCTGCAGGAATTGAGAGATGTTCTGCAGAAGGCTCAATTATCATTAGAGGAAAAATATACTACAATAAAGGATCTCACTGCTGAACTTAGGTGAGTTAAATTCTATGAAAAGATATCACAATAACAGGTATTTCTCTTTATTACCTTTAGTCCTTGGGTCATATTATAGACTTTGTTGTTGAATTCTGGATGTCCAAACTTCTCAACTGCGTTTAGCTCACTGTGGTTCATTCTAGACATTACATCCAATGCTCCATCTCACTAATTCAGCTATTGCTGTTAGCTAATATTTGCATCCTTGGTCTTTGGACCATTTTACTTTGGCCCTCTTCTGTATCCCACGGTGGTAAAAAATGATTGGGCCAGCATACAGCAATGGTTAATAGCAAAGTAATATTAACATGTGCCATGGCTATGCTGAGTACTTCAGATATGATCTCATTTCTTTACAACAAGCAAATATAAGTTCCACATTATCACCTTTTTACACGTGAGAAAACTGAGAAAATTAAGTAAAATGCCAAGTTAGATAGTGAAACCCAAGTCTAAGTCTAAAATCATGATTCTTAGATTATCAGCAATAGCATAAAATACTGTTCAGGACACATCTATGGTGAGTATGGGTGAAGAGCCAGACTAGAGCCCAATTGTGGGAAATAAATTCTGAAAAGGAAAACAGATCAGGGTGTGAAATGTGTAATGAAAGAACAGGATAGAGAGCAGCAAGGTGACCCAGAAACTTAGATGTTGTATCCTTTGACTCAGTGCAGCATCCTTTCCCTTTTCTACTCACAAACTCATTCTTAGTAAATTTCATGTAGCTTTAGATTTCAGTACAATGTGCCAGAGATTTCTAAACACATATCTCTAGTAATGACCTCATCTCCAAACTCCAGACTCCTATCTAATGACTTACTTGCTATCTCCGCTTAAGTATTTTAAAGAGGCATCTTAAATTTGACTAAAACAATTCATTTTTAAAATTCATAACCCTGTACTTTCTCCAACTCATTATTATGCATTGGCTTAAGTCAGAAATCTATATATAAGATTACATTTATCTCTTTCCCTCCCCTTTTTCATCCAGTCTATTAGCAAGTTGCCTACAGAGTCACTTCAGTTGTGTCTGACTCTTTGCAACCCCATGGACTATAGCCCACCAGACTTCTCTATCCATGGAATTTCCCAGGCAAGAATACTGGAATGAGTTGCCAGACCCTCCTCCCAGGGATCTTCCCTACCCAGGGATCAAACCCACATCTCTTATGTCTCCTGCATTGGCAGTCAGGTTCTTTACCACTAGTGCCACCTAGGAAGCCCAATTAGCAAGTTATGTCAACTTTTATTTCCAAAACATATTCTGAAATCTGTTGATTTCTTGGCCTTTTTTCTGCTACTTAGCCCAAGCCATCATCATCTCCCACCTGGTCTGTTGCTGAGGCTTCCTAACTGGTCTGCTAGCTTAAATTCTTGACCTTCCTCACAATTCATTCTCCACAGAGTGGATTTAAGTTTGTGATTTAAAATGTAAGTCAGATCATACTGCTTTCCTACTTGAACTTTCTCATGACTTCCCAAAAGATTCAGAATAATACCCAGGCTCCTTCAGAAATATAAATCAAAACCACAATGAGATACCACTTCAGACCCACTAAGGTGGCTATAATCAAAACAAAAAACCCAAATAGAAAATAACAGATGAGAAATTTTAAAAGTTCCAGCCTCTGTGGAAAACAGTTTGGCACTTTTTAACTCATCAGTGAATTAAACATAGTATTAACCTTGTAACTCAGTAATTCCACTGTTAGGTTTAAGTACCCAAAAGAATTGGAAAGAGGTGTTCAAACAAAAATTGTGCTCAAATGTTTGTAGCACCTCTATTCCCAATAGCCACCAAGTGCAAACGACCCAGATGGATACTGATAGCTATGAGTGGATAAACCAGTGTGGTATATCCATACAAATCAGCCATGAAAAGGGTACTGACAAATGTTGCAGCACGGATAAACCTTACAAATATGTTAAATGAAAGAAACCACATACATGTTGCATAATTCCATTTATATGAAATATCCAGAATTGGCAAATCCACAGAGATAGAAACCAGGTTAATTGTGTGGGGCTGGGGAAAGGGAGAATGGAAGAAAACTGCCAATGGGTGTGCGGTTACTATCCAGAGGGATGAAAAAGTACTGGAAATAGTGATGATGGTTACACAACATTGTGAATATATTCAGTGTAACTGCATTGTATGCTTTAAAGTAGTTAAAATGGTAAATCTTATGTGTATTTTGCCACAGTTGGAAAAAAAAAAAAAATCCAGGCTCCTTTTCCTAGAATACAAAGCCCTGCATAACAAAGTTTCTGCCTCTTTCTCTGGCCTCATTCTATATTGTCCTCCTTGCTGCTGACCTTTTTATTCTACTTAAAGCTTATGAAGTTTTTTCCCACCTTAGGACTTTTGCCATAGCTGTTTCTTTGGCCTGAAATAGCCTGAAATAATTGTGTGGTCAGTTTCTTCATACTCTTCACATTACTTCATAGGGCCCTTCCCTCACCACCTATTCTAAAATAGTCTCCCAGTCACTGTCTCATCATTATATTTAATGCTCTGACATAGCACTTTATATTTTTCTTATTGAGTTATTATTTATAGTCCATCTCTTCTGGAGCTAGTAGAATGTAAATTCCATGTGATGAAGGACAAATATCCTGTTGACTATTAAATCCATAGTCATAGAACCTTGACATTTAGGAAACATCCAGTAAATATTTACTAAATAAATAAGGGAATGGATGGATGAGAGAAGTAAGAACAAAATCTTAAAATTCTAGCTAGTAGCTGAATTTTAGAAGCACAGCTATTCTTATAGACAGCAATTAGAGTTATCTTTAGAATTCATTTTATATTACTTTTAGAATATTAGTTTAGTCTTGTATTAACTCTTCAGGCTTTTAGGGGAACAGTAAACAGCTCATTAAAGAAGTTCAGAACCTGCTTTTTAAATCCAGTACCTTTATTATATTGTTTCATATTTAAGACTAGAAAATCACATGATAATTCAAGATCAACAACATTTTCATCCTTTGTCATATCAGAACTTAGAGTTCACAATTAAAATTCTCTGATATCAAGCTTCAAAGTGGTATAAATCTTGAAGTTATGTCATTTTAAGTTTCTTTATAATATAAAATTAATCTTAAGTTAGTGTTTTTGGAGGGCTAGAAATTTTTTAAAAACATTTAAAATATTTCTGTAGTAGATTTCACTACTTCACTAAATAGAAGGTGTCATTTTGAGTAAAATTCCTGTAAGAAATACAGTGGTCATTTACTAAACTGTGGATATCAGGGACATCACCCATGAGATAAATGCCTCATTCAATTATAGTGAACTCATAGCTGTTACATATAAAAGACTTTCAAACACTCCTTTGATCTATAGATTAAAATATAGATGTATTTTAAAAATTCTTATACTGATTCAATCCTATTTCTTGGGAGTGCTTTTAGCATTTAGCTTAAATTGTCTGCAGAAGTAGAATTTAAGTTAACTTGTGCCTTTTTAGAATATGATATTAAAATAGTATTGATATCAGTCATTTTCTTTATGCATTATTCCTTTAATTTGAGGTCTCTCAATCTGAAATAATTGAATGTATCCTGTCACTTAACTTACGGGAAGGGTAACCCAATTGATTTGATTTTTTGAAACTATAATAGTCCTACTTACTTGCTTAGGTCTTTTTCACTTTGATAAATTGCAGGGAATGCAAGCTGGAGATTGAAGACAAAAAGCAAGAACTTCTTGAAATGGATCAGGCACTTAAGGAAAGAAATTGGGAGCTAAAGCAAAGAGCAGCTCAAGTTGGTTTTCTTAACTATATTTCAATGAAATTTTCTGTTAAAATACAATCACTTGAGGTTTCAGAGGTCCCCTCATGTTGGTAAAATAGTTTTTATAGCTATTTCTTTTTTCTGTGCACATAGTATTTTTTAAATTAGAAATATGTCATCTCTCCTTTTTTTTTTTTGCTATTTTTACAGCAGGTGGATTTTGGGGAGTGAAGGTTAGCTTAGTGTCTGAACCTTTTGATCTCTTATAATACTGTATATCAGAAGAAAATGCAATTAAAGGAGTTACTTGCTCAACTAGTATTTATTGAAGGAATGGAAATCTCCAGAAGGCATTTTTAGCATCTTTTAAAATATAATTTTATTTATTTATTTTTGGCTGCACTGGTTCTTTGTTGCTTTGCATGGGTTTTCTCTAGTTGTGGTGAACGGAGGCTACTCTCTAGTTGTGGTGCCCAGGTTTTCTCATTGCAGTGGCCTCCCTTGTTGCGGAGCACAGGCTGTAAGGTGTGTGGGCTTGAGTAGTTGTAGCTCTGGCTCAGTAATTGTGGCACATGGGCTTAGTTCTCCTGTAGCATGTGGAATCGGATTAAACCCGTGTGGCCTGCATTGGTAGACTGGTTCTTAACCACTGGACTACCAGGGAAGCTCTGCAGCATCTTTTTAAAAAGACTTACTTTTTAGAGCAGATTTAGTTTCACAGCAAAATTGAACAATAGGTACAGAGATTTCCCACATACCCACGCTGCCCCAAAGAAGGCACAACCTTCCCCCATTATCAACATTTCCTTCCAGGATGGTATATTTGTTAAAGCTGATGAACCTACATTGACATTTCATAATCACCCAAAATCCATAGTTTATATTATCATTCACTCTTATGTTATTCATTCTATGAGTTTGGACAGGCATTCATCATTATGGTATCATTCAGAATATCTTCAGTGCCTTAAAAATCTTTTGTACCCCACTTACTCATCCCTGTCTCACTTCCCCCAACCATGGTAACCAGTGATCTTTTTGCTGTCTCTAGTTTTGCCTTTTCCAGAATGTTATACAGTTGTTGTTGATCATGTTCAGTCATTAAGTAGTGTCCAACTCCTTGTGACTCAATGGACTGCAGCACGCCAGGCTTCCCTGTCCTTCACTATCTCCCAGAGCTTGTTCAAACTCATGTCCATTGAGTCAGTGATGCCATCCAGCCATCTTATCCTCATTCACTTGCTTCTCCTCCTGCCCTCCATCTTTCCCAGCATCAGGGTCTTTTCCAATGAGTGGACTCTTCTTATCAGGTGGCCGAAGTATTGGCACTTTAGCATCAGTCCTTCCAATATTCAGGGTTGATTGCCTTTAGAATTGACTGGTTTGATCTCCTTGCTGTCCAGGGGACTCTCAAGAGTCTTATTCCAGCACCACAATTTGAAAGCATCAGTTCTTCATCACTCAGCCTTCTTTATTGTCCAACACCTTCCATACACGACTACTGGAAATACCATAACTTTGACTATACAGACCTTTGTCGGCAAAGTGATGTCTCTCCTTTTTAACATGCTGTCTAGGTTTGTCATAGCTTTTCCTCCAAGGAGCAAACATCTTTTAATTTTGTGGCTGCAGTCCCATCCACAGTGATTTTGGAGCCCAAGAAAATAAAATCTGTCACTGTTTCCACTTTTTCCCCATCTTTTTGACCTGAGTGATGGGACCAGATACCATGATCTTAGCTTTTTGATTGTTGAGTTTTAAGCCAGCTTTTCCACTCTCCTCTTTCACTTTCATCAAGAGTCTCTTTAGTTCCTTTTGGCTTTTCTGCCATAAGGATGGTCTCATCTGCTTATCTGAGGTTATTGATATTTCTCTCAGAAATCTTTGATTCCAGCTTGTGCTTCATCCAGCCCAGCATTTCTCATGATGTACTATGCATATAAGTTAAATATACAGGGCGACAGTATACACCTTGATGTACTCCTTTTCCAATTTGGAACCAATCCATTGTTCCATGTCCAGTTCTAACTATTGCTTCTTGACCTGCATACAGGTTTCTCAGGAAATAGGTAAAGTCGTCTGGTATTCCCATCTCTTGAAGAATTTTCTGCAGTTTGTCGTGATCCACACAGTCAAATGCTTTAGTGAAGTCATTGAAGCAGAAGTAGATTTTTTTTGGAATTCCCTTGCTTTCTCTATGATCCAGTGGATGTTGGGAACTTGATCTCTGGTTGCTCTGTGATTTTTTTTTCCTTACTGTGATTAGTTATATTAATTAATTTTCAAATGTGGAGTATAGTTCTTTTTATACATTTTTTAGTATGATTCACTATATTTTGTTGAGAATTTTTACATCTATGTTCATGAAGGATACTGGTCTATAGTTTTCTTTATTTATAATGTCTCTGGTGTTGGTATTAAGGTAATGCTAGCCTTAGAGAATGAGTTAGTACTTCCTCTGTTTCTATCTTCTAAGCGAGAGTGTAAAGAAGTGGCATAATTTCTTCCTTAAATGTTTGATAGAATTCACCAATGAACCCATCTGAACCTGGGGCTGTCTGTTTTGGAAAGTTATTAATCATTGATTCAGTTTCTTTAGTGGATATAGGCTTATTCAGTTTATCCATTTCTTGTATGAGTTTTGGCTGATTGTGCCTTTTGAGTAACTGGCCAGTTACATCTAATTTTATTTAAATTCATGGGCTGAGAGCTGTTTATAACATTTCTGTATTATCCTATTAATGTCCTTGATGTTTGTAGTCATATCTCCTTTTTCATTTCTCATATTAACAGTTTATATCTTCTCTCTCTCTTTTTATTGGTCTGGCTAGAGGCTTATTGCTATTATTAATCTTTTTGAAGAGCCAGTTTTTGGCTTTGTTGATTTTCTCTATTGATTCCCTAATTTTAATTGCTACTCTGGTTTTTAGCATTTTTTTCTTCTGCTTAGTTTGGATTTGATTTATTCTTCCTTTTCTAGTTTGTAAGATGGAAGTTCAGCTGATTAATTTTAGATCTTTCTTCTTTTCTCATATATGCATTCAGTGCATGAAGTTTCTAAGCAATGCTTTTGCTGCATCCCATGGTTTTCTTTCTTTCTTTCTTTCTTTATTTATTTTTTCCATTTATTTTTATTAGTTGGAGGCTAATTACTTTACATCATTACAGTAGTTTTTGTCATACATTGAAATGAATTAGCCATGGATTTACATGTATTCCCCATCCCAGTCCCCCCTCCCACCTCCCTCTCCACCCAATCCCTCTGGGTCTTCCCAGTGCACCAGACCCGAGCACTTGTCTCATGCACCCAACCTGGGCTGGTGATCTGTTTCACCCTAGATAATATACATGTTTCAATGCTGTTCTCTTGAAACATCCCACCTTCGCCTTCTCCCAGAGTCCACAAGTCTGTTCTATACATCTGAGTCTCTTTTTCTGTTTTGCATATAGGGTTCTCGTTACCATCTTTCTAAAGTCCATATATATGTGTTAGTATACTGTAACGGTCTTTATCTTTCTGGCTTACTTCGCTCTGTATAATGGGCTCCAGTTTCATCCATCTCATTAGAACTGATTCAAATGAATTCTTTTTAATGGCTGAGTAATATTCCATGGTGTATATGTACCACAGCTTCCTCATCCATTCGTCTGCTGATGGGCATCTGGGTTGCTTCCATGTCCTGGCTATGATAAACAGTGCTGCGATGAACATTCATCCCATGGTTTTCATGTTGCATTGTAGTATTTAGCATAAAATGAAGTTTGAATCATTTTGTCACTTATTTGAATATATGATTATATATTGGGTTCAAGATCCAGTATTATTAAGCAATGATTATTTTTCTCATTCTTTTTAATAATTTATTTGAGGTGCATTTTTCTTCAGTTATACCCACTGTAAATAATTCTAAATGACATTCCAAGCATACAGTTTTTCACATTAGAATAAGATTGAACAGTAGCTTAATGTTGCTTTTATGTTTAGGTTACACATTTGGATATGACTATTCGTGGGCACAGGGGAGAAATGGAACAGAAAATAATTAAATTAGAGGGCACTGTGGAGAAATCAGAATTGGAACTTAAAGAAAGCAGCAGACAGGTAAATTATTAAAAATTATGTCTTAAATTATTTAAAAAATGACTCCTTAACTATAAACATATGCTGTTCACATAAAATGGCTTCTGACTAGAATAGATACAATAAAAATACTGCATTTGAACTGTGCCACACAACTTGTGGGATTTTAGGTCCCCAGTCTGGGATTGAACCTGATCCCTTGGCAAATGAGAGTGTGGAGTCCTAACCAGTGGGCTGCCAGGGAATTCCCAATGATGCGTAATTTTCATTATCTTGTACTTGCTACATTATATTCATTTTCTTCTCTTAAATTTTTCCCCAGCTTTACTGAGGTATAATTGACAGTAAAAAGTGGCATATATTTTAGGTGTACAGTGTGATGTTTTAATAGACATATACATTATGAAATAATTATCAGAATTAAACTAATTAGCATATCTGCCACCTCATATAGTTACTTTTTTTTTTTATGAAAACACCAAGTGTACAACATAGTATATTTTAGGTATACACATAAGCATCTTATTAGGCACAAAATTCTGATATTTATGTCAAAGTTATGTTTGTCTCAAGAAAAACACATTTTAAAATTTTGCTATTTTAGATATACAAGTTTAAAGCTTGACTTACATGGATTGCAGTTATGATAGAAGAATATTTTTCTTTATTTACATTAACATTGCTCTGTTTAAAATTCAGATAGAAAGTTTGAATGAAAAATTGCAAAATGCCAAAGAACAACTTCGAGAAAAAGAGTTTATAACACTACAAAATGAACAAGAGATAAGTCAACTGAGAAAAGAAACTGAACGGGCCCAACAAAAGATGAAAGAAATGGAAAGTGTAAGCAGATTATTTTCCTCCTAAGGAACAAGGTTGATACAGATCTTTGTTTTAAACTGATTGGTTTTATATGTGATTGGTATTTAATATGCACAGAAAGTGTGCCATGAGTATTCTTAGGCTAATTATTTGTGTCAGATATCTATTAATTTCCTTATCTTCTTAATTACTTTATTATTGGTGAGTTATCATGTTATTTGTCTTTACATTCTCTATAGGCATTGGCATGATATCTCTTAACATAGTAAACCCATGATATATGCTCACTTGGTCAATAAATAAATATTTTAATTGAGAACCTACTATGTGATAGAACTGAAGATCAGATATTAATAGGATGCACTACTTTGTCCTTGAAGAACTCTATTCAGAGAATGAATTAACAGATAACGGTATATTATTGATGTCAAGTACTTCAAGTTGCCAGATGAAGTTTGATAACTTCATATCAGTTTGCATGTGTGTTGACTTCTGAACTCATTCTACCCACTTGCCTTTTTAAAATGAATTTGCTTCTAAGAGCTCTCATAGATGTAACTTTTTCTTGTTTTTAAATACTATGCTTGCTCAGTTTTAAAACTTACTGTATAGCTCCTTCTGGCGTTTGATTAACTGATTTTCTGTCTCATCCAGTCATATTTAAACTCCACAAGGGTAACTACTTTATCTCCTATTTTCTCCTTTATCCTCAATACCTATAATAGTACATATCACATAGTAAGCATGAATAAATATTAGTTGAATTTTATATATATATATATAAATTAAGCAGGGTCTCTGAGAGCAAGTTTGGGTTCTAGTGCGAAAAAGAAAAAGATTGTTGACTCAGTTGTTTCATGTTCTCAAACAAGGGCTGGCTAAAAGTATTTACATGAGATTTATACTGATACACAACCCAGTGGGACCTTGGGCCCCCATTCTAGACATCAGAGTCCTTGTAATTTGTACTGGTTTCTTTCTTATCAGTCCTAAAGTTGTGTCATTACCTACCAGCTTATCTATGTCATCAAGCTAATTTAAAACTAATTTACTTTATACTGATTTTTTTCCCTCCAGAAATAGTACTTTACTAGGGATTTAACTGAGGAATGTGAAATATTTCAGAGAGAGTAGCAGCAGTCCCAGTAACAAATTTCACATTTGCAGAGAATAAGGTCATCCTTAACCCAGCTATGTGGATTAATTGTGGGCTTTATTTATACCAGTATTTTCTCCATCTTTGACGTGGATAATCAAATATTAACTTCTTTCATCTCTTTATATTATTATGTATTCTGTCATGTTACTTCATACTGTTAAAGGATTATGCAGCTTGCATGTTGAAGGCATGCAAAATATACCAGTGAGTCCTAGATTTATTACAGTACTTTTGTCATTTTCTTACTATTAAAAAATTTTTTTTTCTGAATATCAGTTTCACAGTGGTTATATTCATTGTATGTTAAAATATATAGATGTTTAGTTGGGAGGGAGTAAGTCACTTATTAAAAGAGAAATCAGAGTAAGAAATAGATTATCTGGGTCATTTTATTTTGAAACATACAAATGTCTTATGCATTTCAGGTTATGAAAGAGCAGGAACAGTACATTGCAACTCAGTACAAGGAGGCCATAGATTTGGAGCAAGAATTGAGACTAACTCGGGAGCAGATGCAGAACTCTCATATAGAATTGGTGGAGGCCCGTCATCAACAAGTCCAAGCCCAGAGAGAAATAGAAAGGCTCTCAAGTGAACTTGAGCAAATAAAGCAACACTCTAAAGAGAAAGTAATTCCTATTCTAATTTTACCTTATTGAAAATTTTAAAGTTTTTAACATTTGCTTGTTTTGACAGTAGAATATCATTTTTATAAAAGTTGTGTTCCACAGCAGTGTGAATGTACTTAAAAATAGTTAAGATGATAAATTTTGTGTTATGTATATATTACTCAAAAAAAAAACCCCCAAAACTGTGTTATATTTAGCCTAGCATTGTAGTGTAATTAGGAAGTCTCTCAGAACTGAATTTTAGTCAAACTGGTTAGTTTTCAATAACATAAGTTATAAAGCACTTTCAGACTTTCAAGTGAATTTGAGCTACCACTGGGACAGAAAAAGAAATCTAATGCATCTTTTTTAAGTAAAAAAATTTGCATTTGTAGCCATTTATAGATGAAAACTGTCTAGATTTATAACTGTTAGAAACCTGCAGTCTTGAACCTTGGGGAGGAAAAGTGCTTTTACATAGAAAGACTACTAATATAAATTGTATTTCCCTAGTTTTACATAGAAAATTAACAACTTGCCTTAAAAATATTTAGATTAATATGCTTGGCTTAATTACTTAGACTGTAAGAAAAATGTATTTATTGATATTCTACAAAAGTTCTTGTGATTTTTCTGCTTTTTACTATGGTTTTTGAGTGAAAGTGTTTTTACATTTAGTTTTGGTTAACCTGATGGCATTTTTATTCACATTTCTGGATGGTTAGACTAATAAAAAATGTATAGGGAATTTTTATTAGACTATGTCAGGCACTTGGGAGTCTACTAGGAGAAGGGAAGCTATCTACTTTTATCTCATTTCTGTCCTTATCAGTGATATCTAAATATAGTATAATTGATTTTATCTGTTAAACCAAGCTCAGTTAATCAAATAACTAATTGAAAGTGGAGAATTATTAAGAATGACAGTTTAAATATTATATTTTAACCCCAAACTCTTAAGTTTACAGTCATTTGTTAACCTTTTAATGTGGGACCAAATCTTGGCTCTTTCTATATGGGTAGGGTCACTTGATTACATTCCACCTAGTTTTTCTTTCATAAACCACACTCACATGCCATCATCTATAGTTTCCAATTTGGTTTTTTAAAATAGAGTTAAGAGACATAAATCAGTCAGAGGACAGCATCTCTTATGTTTTGTATGAGATTTCCCACAATATTTTACAACTAATTAGGTAGCAAACGTTTGTGTCTCACTTGTCGAATTGTCTCAAAGCATATAACTTAGTTTTCATATAAAAACATTTCCTTTTGCATGTGCATTTCATCTGTATTCATAATGTATAATAAAATTACATAATTGTAGTCACAAACACAGCTGTCATAGATATGTTTGATACATGCACAGCTGACTGTAGATAAGCAAATAGCACATATGGTGAGCAAAAATACCTAGACATGCCTAAAGAGGAGACTACTATCTGCTAAAGTTCAGCGTCCTGTGGTTATTAGTTTATTTTACCAAAAGCATTGATTAGTGAACTTATGATAATAAACAATATACTGATAATTTCCCATTAGTACTCTCTTAAATATCTAGATTAAATTCTAGATTGTTACACTTTTTAAAGTGTACATTTAATAAGGTAACTGTGTATGAGTGTTCATACAGTATTACAAAAGATTGAAGTACTTCCATAAATGTGCTAAATTGTTTAGCTACAATAACCAAATAAACAAGTAGTGTAACCTTTGCTTAATATGTCATTTTTAAGGAAGCTCATGGAAAATATTTAGCTGAAGAATTGGGGGCTTCTCAAGTACGTGAAACTCAGTTAGAAGCAAGAATGCAAGCAGAAATCAAGAAATTGTCAACAGAAGTAGAATCTCTCAAAGAAGCATATCATCTAGAGGTAAAGAAAAATTTAATTTATTCCATTACTCCCTGCTAAAGTGTGTTGATCTATCTGAACAAAGTATAAATCTAGCTTTTAAATGTTTATTACAGGGAAACACATTTGGTCTTTTCTGGTAGGCTGAACATATTATTTTCACTTCATATTCCAGGGTACTAATACCCTATGGTTTAAGAGCTTGAATTCTTTAGTCAGGCATACTGGTTCTAAATCTCAGTTCATTGCTTGGTACTTATGTAACCTTAGACAACTAACTTATCATCTCTGACTAAAATGGATATAATAATGCTATCTATTTCATAGAACTGTGTGGAAAATTTAATTAATTAATGTAGTTAATGTTCTTACACCAGAGCCTGGCACGTCATTATCATTGTCATAACTTTTTATAAAGTAACACTTGCCAAAATTACCTGGAGGTATTTAATAACCAATGTAAGCAGTTTTCATGTGATGTCAATCTATCAATGTGTGGTAGTTTTCAAGGTTTGCTCTGATCATAAGTTAGAGAGGCAATAGGATAGTTTGCTCTTTATCAGTATGTCCTGAGCCTTTACAGAGATGGACAGTGTTATCAATTAGAATAGCATTTCTTGTCTTTTTTAAAACTGTATTTGAAGATATTCAAATTTAAGGTTCCTTATGAGGCATTCTAATAAAGCATTTTTCTGGATGGTGCTTGTTGCAAATGTTGTTGTTTAGTCATTAAGTCACGTCTGACTCTTTGTGACCCCATGGATTGCCTCACGCCAGGCTCCTCTGTCCTCCACTGTCTCCCGGAATTTGCTCAGACTCATGTCCATTGAGTCAGTGATGCTGTCTAACCATCTCAAAGACATTTATATTAAACTCGTTTTGAGGGAGTTTGGTTAACATCTTTTTGAAGAATAAATTGTGTTTTTGGTCAACATGTCTTGCTTAAATGCATTTAGAGTCAAATCTCTTTGAAAACATTGTGTCTGCCAAACAAAACATATTTGTGTGCTGAATCAAGTCCTAAGGCCAAGAGATTACAACCTTTGGTCTTTGAAGACAAATGTGAATGCTGATGAGTTCAGCATAATTATTTGATATTAGCTGGTCAACTTGGTGACCTTCAGTAATAACTGGTCCATCTCAAGTATTTGCCAGCAGCAACTCAATAAGCTTTTATTACATGATCTATATTTCTACTTTTAATTACCAAATTTTTTACTTTCAGTTTTATAAGCCTCTTGAAATTATTTATAAGCAGATAGTACAAAAAATAAATTGTAAACATTGGTTCTTGTATTGCTGTTTAATATCTAGTATTAATATTTTATATGCAGCATATGCAAACACCTACTATGGACACTTTCACAGGGGCTGCCACTGGTGGCTTTGAGGCCTGTTGGGGATGAAGGCACCCAGCACAATGCTTTTCTGGTTAGACTCCAGACATGTAGGTCCAATTAACTCTTGTGATGGTACAGAAGGATAAAAGCTCTACATAGGAACATGATATGAATGGAAGAGACCTGTCATTATGCACACAGTATGGCAGTCATAAACAGACAGTAAAAAGAGCACTCATCTGAAAGAGAACAGCACTTGTGTCACAGTATAAGTTAGATGCTTGTGGAACAGCTTTTGATAAATGAGGTCTTCCAGCCAGACAGTGATTCCTTTGGACCCATTACTTTATATTCATGATCAGATTGGATCACCTCCCATCCTGAGGCTCCCCAAGACTTTTGAATAGTTTTTCAATGATCCTTAAGAAAGACACCCTCCCAGAGAAATGCAGTATTTATATACAATGCATGGGATCTCTAGGAAACACCAAAGTTATCAGTGAAGAATATGGCAAATGACTCAAAGGCTACTGTGAAGTATTTTTGTATGGCTTGATAGTAAAGCTCCTAGAACCAGTTTCTGTCTCTGCAAGGTTCCAAACATTTGGAAGAAGCTGACCAGTGCCCGGAAACCCTTTTCCCTATCCATTTACACAAGTTACAGCATGCTATTAATTGCAACATTATTGAGGGTTACAGAGCTCTTGTGAAGTAGATTGAAGATGAATCCACTAACATACCTAGAGTCCTCCAAAACATAGTCATGAGGATAATATGAATTTGCCCAAACCTGTGGGAGCCTTTAAGGAATGAAAAGAATGGATAATAAAATTTTCCAAAAAAAGAACCTTCAAATAGGAGTAATTAAAATAAATACTTACAGGTTAAAAAAAATATATATATAGGTTTGTTGTGGTTGTTCTTAAGAAAGATGTTTTTAAAGTGTGTATGTTGTTTGAATATAAAATGAAAGTATGTTATTAAATAGGAAAAGGGATTGATAATTTTTAACTAATTTTTTAAATAGGTTTTAGAATTGTCAGGAAACTCAATTGCAAAGCTGATTTTTTTCAATAAAATGAAATTTTTAAAAACTTTTTTATGGACAATTTTTAACATATTCAGAAGTAGAATGGTATAAATCTTCCTGTATATTGTTACTGTTGTTCAGTTGCTCAGTCGTGTCTGACTCTGCAGCCCCATGGACTGTAGCACACCATGCTTCCCTGTCCTTCACCATCTCCCGGAGGTTGCTCAAACTCATGTTTATTGAGTCAGTGATGCCATCTAACCATCTCATCCTCTGTCTTCCCCTTCTCCTCCTGCCTTCAGTCTTTCCCAGCATCAGGGGCATTTCCAATGAGTGGGCTCTTTGCATCAGGTGGCCAAAGTATTGGAGTTTCAGCTTCAGCATCAGTCCTTCCAATGTGTATAGAGGGTTGATTTCCTCCAGGATTGACTGTTGATCTCCTTGTTGTCCAAGGGGCTCTCGAGAGTTTTCTTCAGCACCACAGTTCAAGGATATCAGTTCTTTGCTGCTCAAGCCTTTTTTATAGTCCAACTCTCACATCCATACATGACTACTGGAAAAACCATAGCTCTGACTATGCAGACCTTTGGAGGCAAATAATGTCTCTGCTTTTTAATACTGTGTCTAGATTTATCTTAATTTTTCTTCCAAGGAGCAAGTGTCTTTTAATTTAATGGCTGCAGTCACCATCCACAGTGATTTTGGAGCCCAAGAAAATAAAGTTTGTCACTCTTTCCATTGTTTCCCCATCTACTTTCCATGGAGTGATACAACCAGATGCCATGATTTTCATTTTTTGAATGTTGAGTTTTAAGCTAGCTTTCATCAAGAGGCTCTTCAGTTCCTCTTCACTTTCTGCCATAAGGGTGGTGTCATCTGCATATCTAAGGTTATTGATATTTCTCCCAGCATTCTTGATTCCAACTTGTGATTCATCCAGCCTGGCATTTTGCATGATGTATTCTGAATATAAGTTAAATAAGCAGGGTGACAGTATACAGCCTTGGTGTACTTTTTCCTGATTTGGAACCAATCCATTATTTCATGTCCGGTTCTAACAGTTGCTTCTTGACCTGCATACAGATTTCATAGGAGGCAGGTTAGGTGGTCTGGTATTCCCATCTCTTTAAGAATTTTCCAGTTTGTTGTGATCTACATAGTCAAAGGCTTTTTCATAGTCAATGAAGCAGAAGGATGTTTTTCTGGAATTCCCTTGCTTTTTCTATGATCCAATGGATGTTGGCAATTTGAGCTCTAATTGCCTTTTCTAAATCCAGCTTGTACATCTGGAAGTTCTAATTGCATGTACTGTTGAAGCCTAGATTGAAGGATTTTGAGCATTACCTTGCTCACATGTGAAATGAGCATAATTGTACAATAGTTTGAACATTCTCTGGCATTGCCTTTCTTTTGGATTGGAACGGAAACTGACCTTATTCAGTATTATGGCCACTGCTGAGTTTCCAAATTTGCTGGTATATTGAGTTCAGCACTTTCACAGCATCATCTTTTAGGTTTTTAAATAGCTCAGCTGGAATTTTATCATCTCCACTAGCTTTGTTTGTTGTGATGCTTCCTAAACCCCACTTGACTTCACACTCCAGGATGTCTGTCTCTAGGTGAGTGATCACACCATCGTGGTTATCCAGAGCATTAAGTTCTTTTTTGTATTTGTTGTTGTTCAGTCTCTCAGTTGTGTCTGACTCTGCGACCTCATGGACTGCAGGATGCCAGGCTTCCCTGTCCTTCACCATCTCCCAGAGCTTACTCAAACTCATGTCCATTGAGTCAGTGATGCCATCTAACCATCTCATCATCTTTTTTATATAGTTTTTCTGTATTCTTGTCGTCTCTTAATATCTTCTGCTTCTGTTTAGTTCATACTGTTTCTGTCCTTTATTGTGCCTATCTTTACATGAAATGTTCCCTTGGTATCTCAGATTTTCTTGAAGAGATCTCTAGTCTTTCCCATTCTGTTGTTTTCCCTTATTTCTTTCATATATATTGCTCAGCTTCAATAATTTTCAACTCCTGAGTCTTGTGACCCCATGGACTGTATGTAGCCTGCCAGGCTCCTCTGTCCATGGGATTCTCCAAGCAAAAACACTGGAGTGGGTTGCCATTCCTTCTCCAAGGGATCTTCCTGACCCAGGAATTGAACCAGGGTCTCCTGCATTGCAGGCAGATTCTTTACCAAGAAGCCTGGTCATGGCCAATTTTACTTAATCTGTAAGTATGTTGACTATTTCTTTTATATAAAAGAAATGCTTTTGAGAATGAAGAAGAGTGCTGTTATTAATTACCCCAGAACACCAGGCATAAAACCTGCACGATTGTAGGCAAACTGGGAAGTGTGATCACCATACCTTTAACCTCTCTCAGGTCTCTTTTTCCCTTTCTCACATACCCTATAATTTTGGGGGAAGGAAATCCAAAACATGACTGTTTCATCAATAAACATTTCAATAAATATATCTGAAAGATAGGAGCTGTTTAAAAAATACAACCACAATGCCATTATCATACTTAAAATTTGACTATAATTCCTTGATATCATCAAACATGTAGTCATTGTTCAGATTTCCTCAATTATGTCTTCCTCAAAAATGTGTTTATAACTGATTTCTTCAAATCAGGATCCGAAAGTAGTCCATTGTACTTAGTTAACTGTTCTTAAGTAAATTTAAGACTATTTTCCCTCTAATATGTTATTTGTTGAGAAATCATGTTTGTAACTATAAATAGAATTTGCTTTTATTTCAAGTGGAAATGGAAAGTATTAGAATGTTATTGAAACCAACTTCATCCTATTTTCTTTCTTCCATTCCTTTTCAATTTGGGGGCTGTGTAGATGATTTCACATCAGGAAAACCATGCAAAGTGGAAGATTTCTGTTGATTCTCAGAAGACTTCTGTTCAGCAACTAAATGAACAGTTAGAGAAAGCAAAACTAGAACTAGAAGAAGCCCAGGACACGGTAAGCAGTTTGCATCAGCAAGTCCAAGACAGGAATGAAGTGATTGAGGCTACAAACGAAGCATTGCTTATTAAGGTAAGTGAACAGGTAAAATACATAAAGCAGAACTATAGTGAAGTAAATTTATGACTGATTTTCCCATAATCAGAATTCCTGGAGTTTGTAGAACACTTAATAACCAAAAATTGACCTATTGAATAAAAGCCCCTTTATTTAGAAGATACTAAATTTGGAGATGATTAATAAGAAATGTATCATATTGCCTCAAGAGAAATAATTATGTTCAAACATGAACTTTAAAAAAAACTTTTTTTTGGTGAGAACATTTAAGTTCTGCTTTTTCAGCAAATTTCATTTATATACTGGTTTTATCAACTATAGTCATCATACTATACATTAAACCCTCAGTCATCTTATACCTGAAAAGCTGTACCCTTTGAGCAACCTATTTTGCTCACCTCCCAGTCTCCCAGTCTCTGGCAACCACTCTCCTGCTATTTCTATGAGTTTGGCTTTTTTTTTTTTTTAAGATTCCACGTTCAAGTAATATCATGCAGTATTTGTCTTTCTCTGTGTAATGCCCTAAAGGTCCTTTATGTTGTTCCAAAGGGCATATTGTATATTCCATTGTATATATATTTACCACATCTTCTTTTTTTTTTTTTACCACACCTTCTTTATTCATTCATCAATGGGTACTTTTTTCCTTATCTGAGCTAATTGTGAATAATGTTGCAATGAACACAGGAGTGCATTTGATAACCTGTTTTCATTTCCTTTGAATATATACCCAGAAGGGGTGTTGCTGGATCATATGACAGTTCTATTTTTCATTTTTGGAGGAACCTCCACTCTGTTTCCCTTAGTGCTTGTACCAAGTAGCTTGCCTAACAGTAAACATGGTCTCCCTTTTCTCCATATCCTCGCCAACACTCATTTCTTGTCTTTTAATGATAGCCATTCTGGTCAGTGTTAGGTGATATCTCATTCGGTTTTGATATGCATTTCCCAGATGACTAGTGATATTGAGTACCTTTTCATGTACTTATTGGCCCTTTGTATATCTTCTTTGAAAAAATGTATATTCAATTCCTCTACCTTTTTAAGAACTGAATGGTTTGTTGCTTTGCTATTAAATTATATGAGTTCTTTATGTAGTTTAGATATTAACTCCTTATCAGATAAATGATTTGCAGATATTTTCTCCCATTTTATATGTTGCCTTTTTACTGGTTTCCATTGCTGTGCAAGAACTTTTTAGTTTGTATAGTCCCTCTTTTTTATTTTTGCTTTTGTTGCCTTTACTTTTGTTATCAAATCGAAAAAATCATTGCCATGCCCAGTATCAAGATGCTTACTCCCTATTTTTTTCTTCTTTCTCGTTTGAGTTGATTTTTGTGTATGGTGTAGGACTAGGGTCCAGCTTCATTCTTTTGCATCTGGCTCTCTGGTTTTCCCAGCATGATTCATTGAAGATAATTTTTCTTTCCCAATTGTATGTTCTTAGTTCTTTGTCATAAATTAACTGGCTATACATGCATAGGTTTATTTCTGGGCTGTCTATTCTGTTCCATTTATCTGTGTGTCCATTTCTATGCTACTGTGTACCATAGTGTTTTATTATTGTTACTGTAGCTTTGTAATATGGTTTGAAATCAGGAAATATGATGTTTCCAACTTTGTTATTTCTCAAAATTGCTTTAACTATTTAGGGTCTTTTGTGGTTCCACTCAAATTTTAGGATAGCTTGTTCTATATCTGTGAAAAATACCGTTGAAATTTTGATAGGGGTTGAATTGAATCTACATTACGTAGGATAGTAAGGACATTTTCACAATATTTTATTCTTCCAGTTCATGAGCACAAAATATCTTTCCATTTATTTGTATCTTCACTTTCTTTCATCAGTATCTTACAGTTTTCAGTGTACAGGTCTTTCACCTCCTTGGTTAAATGTATTCCTAGGCATTTTATTCTTTTTGATAAAATTGTAAATGGAATTATTTTACTAATTTCTCTAGTACATTATTAATATATAGAAATAAAACAGATTTTTATATACTAATTTTGTACACTGCTGTTTGCCAAATTCATTCACTAGTTCAAACAGTTTTTTGGTGGCGTTTTTAGGGTTTTATATATATATATATATATTTATATATATATATATATAAAATCATGTCATTTGCAAACAGTTACAGTTTTACATCTTCCTTTCCAATTTGGATTCCTTTTATTCCTTTTTTTCCTCCTGATTTCTCTGGCTCCTACTCCTAATACTATGTTGAATAGAAATGGTGAGTGAGCCTCCTTGTCTTATTCCTGATGTTAAAGGAAATGCTTTCAGTTTTTCACTGTTGAAGGTTATGTTAACTGAGGACTTGTTATATATAACCTTTATTATTTTGGTGTATATTCCCCCTGTACCCGCTTCTTGTGTTGTGCATTTTCATTATGAATGAATATTGAATTTTGTCAAATGCTTTTTCTCCATCTGTTGAGATGATCATATAATTTTTATCTTCTTTTTATTAATGTGGTATCACATTAATTTGCAGATGATGAACCATCCTTACGTCCCTGTAACTAATCTCTCACTTGATCATGGTATATGATTCTTTTAATGTATTGTTGAATTCAGTTTGCTATTATTTCTTTTAAATATTTATTTATTTTAAAATACTTTTTATTGATACTGGAATATATTGTTTTACAGTGTTTTAGTTTCTGATGTACAGCAAAGTGAATCAATTTTACACATATATATATCCACTCTTTTTTATTTTCCCTTTCCATCTAGGTCACCATAGAGCACTGTGTAGAATTCCCTTTGCTATATAATAGATTCTCATTAGTTATCTGTTTTAAGTATGGTAATAAAGGAGATAAGTCCTGGGTGTTCATTGGAAGGACTGATGCTGAAGCTGAAACTCCAGTACTTTGGCCATCTCACGTGAAGAGTTGACTCGTTGGAAAAGACCCTGATGCTGGGAGGGATTGGGGGCAGGAGGAGAAGGGGATGACAGAGGATGAGATGACTGGATGGCATCACTGACTCAATGGGCAGGAGTTTGAGTACACTCCAGGAGTTGGTAATGGACAGGGAGGCCTGGCATGCTGCTATTCATGGGGTCGCAATGAATCAGACACGACTGAGCGACTGGACTGAACTGAATGTATATATGTCAATTCTAGTCTCGCAATTCATCCCATCCCTCTTTCCTCCTTGGTAACCATAAGTTTGTTTTCTACATCAGTTGCTCTATTTCTGCTTTGTAAATAAGTTCATCTGTGCCATTTTTATAGGTTCCACATACAAGCAATATTATATGACATTTGCCTTTCTCTTTCTGACTGACTTTATCTCTGTATGACAATCACTAGGCCCCTCCATGTCACTGCAAATGACATTATTTCATTCTCTTTATGGCTGAATAATATTGTATATATGTTCCACGTCTTCTTTATTCATTCCTCTGTTGATGGACATTTAGGTTTCTTCCATGTCCTGGCTATTGTAAATAGTGCTGCAAGGTGCATGTATCTTTTAGATGATAGTTTTCTCCAGATATATGCCCAGGAACAGGATTGATGGATCATATGGTAGCTCTACTTTTATTTTTTTAAGCAATCTCCAAACTGGTTTCCTTAGTGTCTGTACTGATTTACATTTCTACCAACAGTATAGGAGAGTTCTCTTTTCTCCATTTATTGTTTGATTTTTTGATGAAAGCCATTCAGTTTGCTGTTATTTTTTGAAAATTTTTGTACCTGTGTTTATCAGTGATATTGGCCTGTAATTTTCTTTTCTTGTCTGGTTTTGGTATTAGGGTAATACTGGCATTATAAAATGAATTTGAAAATGTTCCCTCCTCTTTCTTTAGAAGATTTTGAGAAGGATTTGTGTTAATTCATAACCATTTGTTAGAATTTGCCAATAAAACCTTTTGGTGCTAGACTTCTGTTTGGGAGGTTTTTTAAAATTACTGATTCAGTCTCCTTACTGGTAATTGGTCTAGGGAGATCTCACTTTGTATTTCTTCATTATTTGGTCTTGGTGGGTTGTATGTTTCTAAGATTTATCTCTTTTTTTCCTTGGCTGACCAATTTGTTACTGTATAATTTTTCATAGTAGTCCCTTATGATCCCTTATCTCTTTGGTATCAAGTTGTAACATCTTTTTCATTTCTGATTTTATTTAAATTCTGTCTCTTTTTCTTTTATTAAGCCTTGCTAATGGTTTGTCTGTTGTGTTTATCTTTTTTAAGAACTCAGCTATTAGTTTCATTAATCTTTTATATTGTCTTTTTCGTCTCATTTAATTTATTTCCACTCTGATCTTTATTTCATTCATTCACCTAACTTTGGGCTTAATTTGTTGTTCCTTTTCTGTTTCTTTAAGGTAGAAATTTAGGTTGTTTTACTGGTGTCTTTCTTATTCCTTTCTATATAAATACAGTGTTTATCACTATAAATTTCCCACTTGCATCTGCTTTTGCTATGTCCTATAAGTTTTGGTTTACTATATTTCTATTTTAATTTGTCTGAAGATTTTTTTTATTTTTCTGTTCATTTATTTATTTTTATTTAATATTTATAATAATTATTTAATAATTATTTATAACAAGTATTTTGTTTATTTTTATTTATTTATTTTATTTTTCTGTTGATTTCTTTGACACGATGGTAGTTACATCACATATTGTTTAATCTCCACGTAATTGTGGGTTTTCCAGTTTTCTTCTTGTAATTAATTTCTGGTTTTATACCATTGTGGTTGGAAGATGCTTGATATGATTTTAATCTTCCTAAATTTGTTTTTGTTTTGTTAATCTTCCTAAATTTATTAAGACTTGTTTTATGGCTTAACATATGATCCATCCTGGAGAATGTTCCATCTTCACTTGAGAAGGATATGTACACTCCTGCGCTGTGTTGGATGGAATGTTCTGTAACTGTTAAGTCCATTTGGTCTAACTTACGGTTCAAGTCCAATGTTTTCATAATGATTTTTTGTATGGATGATCTATCTATTGATGGAACTAGGGTATTGGAGTCCCCTATGTTAATATATG